AGCTGATGGTGCTCCAATTAGCACTGGACATCAGTCAGTCAGTCAAGAACTTTAATATATGGTCCTGAGGAGTTTAAGCCACCAGGGTGCCCACGTGGGACATCCTAGCAGCCGCTACCGTAGGCGACGCCCGAGTCGGGGCGGGAACGTGGTGGCGTTCCGCCAGTTCTTGGGCCCTCTGGACTGCCTTAAGTTGGTTTCGGAGATTGGGGCTCCTGAGTGCCTCCTCCCAGTCGGACTCACTGGTGAGAGGTCCCTGAGGTAACGCGGGACATTGCCAGAGCATGTGCGCGAGTGAACAGTACACTTCTGTGCAATCTGGGCACTGTGAATTTATGTCTGAATTATAATGGCTGAGTCGGCCCGTGATGGGTACGATCTCGTTTGTAACATTCTAAAGGCTACTTCTTGCGCGCGTTCGAGTTTTGAATGGGGTAAAGGGTATCGGCTTCTGTTGTGTCGGTAGTGGGAGGTAATTTCATGGAAGGTGAGTAGTGGGTCATTAAACTGCACGTCTGGGCCCAGCTCTTCGGTGGCTGATTGATCGTCACGGTGGGTCAGTTCTCGTGCTCGATCATGAGCCATTTCGTTGAGGTTGGGTTGTTGTGGGTGAACGTCTTTGCCCATGTGGGCAGGGAACCAAGAGAGGTAGTGCGAGCCCGTATATTTCCGTGTTTGTAAAATGCGGGCTGCTTCTGGAGCGATGTTGCCGGTTTCGTAAGCCCGAATGGCGGCGCGAGAGTCTGTGAAGACATTAGTGAGTGAGGGGTCGGTCATCGCTAAAGCTATAGCAACTTGTTCGGCTATGGCGCTTGTTGATAGCCTAACCGAGGCGGCACTGGACATCTAATAATAATTGTTGGGGTTTTACATATCAAAACCACGATATGATTATGAGACATGCCATTTCAGAGGGCTTCAGAAATTTCGACCACCTGGGATTTCTTAACAGGCACTTTAATCTAGGTACACGGGCCTCAAACATTTTCGCCCCCATCAAAGATGCGGCAAGATTCGATCACGCAACCTGTGGGTCGGCATACGAGCGCCATAACAACCGCTGTGGGTGACGCTGGGAATTTCTATGAACACAGTTCGCTGCAGTATACTAGAATTTAATTAGCTTATTCCCACTCGGTGACTGGATATGTCTCTCGCGGCAGCGCGGAATATATGTTACTCTTTAACAGTCTCGAATACTGTGGTCCAATTTCACTTGATAGGGTTCGCACCAATGGACCACTGTGGGTTATGTGAGCAATAAGATGATGCAGTAGGTACTTGAACTTGTGGTCGACACTCACACTATAAGAGTGGGCCATGAACCGAGTAGCTTATATGGATAGATGGACAACTTTATTAAGGTCTTCGGTGGGTGCGTTTTTAACACGCAGCGGGCCGCTCTGACGTCGAGACAGAGACCTTGCCCCTGCGCCGCGTCACGCGTAGTAGTTTTCGATGAATCTTCAAAAGAAATATGAAAGTCATGTTTTCCCAATTTGCTAATCATAAATATCTAACGGTAATACACGGAATTACGTAACTTCTATTCTAGTCTATTACGTTTACATCTCGTAACAAGGCAGAAGCTAGTGGGTATGCGCCATACGTTGGAGGCAAGAGCAAACAATAACGACCACCGCGAGGAAGCAGGTACGTAAGCGTTCCATTTTTAAGCATGAGATTGTGACACATGGTTTAGATGAAAGCAGGGAACACTACTTGCTACGACGGTTGTATGGACTCACGGGCAGCTTAATGTCAAATGCGATCATTGTTCGCCATTGATACTTCAACATTCCGCAAAGTTCACGAGGGCGCGTGCTCGATTGATGCGAAGAGCTGGAACATTCTCCCGTCTACTTAGATTTCGCTGCGCGTTAAGAAACGCCGGCGAGGTTCTGTTAGGTGTCGCAAACGTCATGTAGTATACATTAAAGCGGAGTTTTCCGCCACGACGCGTCTCGTATCATGCGGTCGTTTAGGCAGGTAAAACACCCAGAACTTAATTTAAATTTCCTGCAAAGTTGTGGGCGTACAACGAAAGCGTGACCTAACCTAACATTTACCTTTTCTATCGCAGGTGAAGCAGTCGTCGGGGCTTGAGAAGGGGGCTGTTAAACTTCTTATTAGCAGATTGCTGGAGGATTGATGACTTGCGCATGTTCCTTTACAAGCGTTCGGAGTTTACAAACGACTCACGCGTGTTTCGGATAAGCACTTGGGAACAATTTCTCAAAGAATGCATTGGACACTTGCATTATGCAAGCAACTGCTCAATCAACAACCGCGCTATTTTTTTCGCTTCCTTGGCTGCTCAGAAGCTCAGAATCACCTGCTGCGCCAACTTTAGCCACAATAATAAAACTGTTGATATACTTATCGACAATATATCTTTATATGGCAAGCAATAAAAATTAAACAATTACTTTAAAATAAACGTAAACTTGAAAAAAATGTATTATATTAACAACATACGCACGGAAGATAAAAACATATTTCTTTCCTCCGTGACCAACGTTACTGGATGAGGACAGTTGGAAAACTCGCGCGAGGAGGCGGCCGCAATCGTCGCCCATTCCAGGTGTCGCTGGCATCGCTTTGCGACCACGTCACGTGACCTCTCCGCCGCGCAGCCGGCATCGCGCGGAGGCAGACGGAGCAGCGACGCGGCTAGCAGGGCCTGCGCTTGCAGACGATTTTTTCCCTGCTGGTAATAATGGTGATACTCATCGTTAAGTAACCTAAATATAAAAAAAAGGCTGGCTCGTTGTTTCGTAACAGACCTTATGCATTAAATTTCAACCATGACAGAGCAGACGATAATGTTTACGCTGTTCTGCTTTCTGGAGAGAAAGCGGACGGTGACTCTGAGCAAGCAATTGTTCGCGGTTGAATTTGCTCCCTTCGGGAGAACGGTCGGCATGCCGAGGTGTGCTGTGCCAGGCTGTCGAAGTGGATATCATCGGCAACGTCAAATGAAGTGCCCTTCGTGCAGCGACACTTTTTCAAGCCACCGAAAGACCCAATGTGCTGAGGGAGTGGAACAATGCGGGCAGGCCGTGCAAACTTCGAAGTTACTCAAAGATCATACATATGTGATCGTCACTTTGATGAAGCGGACATTTGCACCTCCTTCCAGCATGTTGTGAATGGCGAAACAGTCTGCGATTCCGCGAGGACGCTGGGAACTGAAGAAAGGTGCGGTACCGCGGCATTTTGCTAATTGCGCTGAGCTTGATTTGAAGCTTTGTGTAGAAATGTTGGCACAAATGCAGCAAGCGTGCTAGTGGCCGAAGATGACATTACCCCAGTTCTTCAGAGTGAAAGTGAGACGTGCACTGAAATGCTTGAACACGAAACAGGGCTGCCTCAAATGCTGAAAGCATGGAAGTCATCATGAAAGAACGCTCCACAGGTGAACATTGGTTTGGTGGCATAGAAGACTTGCCCGTGTATGGAGCATGGTGTGTGCAACACACGGATGAGCGTGTTGTTTTTTACAAACTTCAAGAAATTGGGGCGTAGTTTTATTGAAAGAGCTGTCGTTATAAACAAAAACTCGACCGTTGTTGTCAGCGCTAAAGGGAAACTTGTGCCGGAATCGTCTTACACCTTTATTAACAGTGACAAGCTCAATTTTACCACCTTGAAAGACGCAGCGCCCTTTCTTCATCTCATTGAGAGCCTGGTATCTGCAATGGTTTGATTCTCGTTTATGTCCTTTAATATCAACTTCTAAGACGGGCTGAAAGGTCTGGGAGAACATGGAGAAGCAAGCGATGTGCAGTGCTGTCGGCGAAAGCCTTATGCGTTCAGTGCAGGAAAGCAAAAAAGAACTTGCAGTGCAGGCAGAAACGACGTTCAAGAAAGAGCAAGTACGTGCCTTTGCCATCTGCGCTGTTGAGAAATTTAAGAAAGAAGACTATAAGAGCAACAGTGCTGCGGGAGAAATACAAGAGGGACCTGCTAAGCTTGAAAAAAAGTTGTCATCAGATCCAAGCAATGCACTGTTGAGCGAGGTTTTAGCTGAACTTCCACCACTGCAGCAACTTGCATTTCGGACAGCACTGCAGTCGATGAAAGCGAAATCTTCAAGAGGTGTGCGGTATGACTGTGGGTGGCTGCTGAGTTGCCTTCTCTTGAAGATTTCAAGCCCACGTGTGTACCGCTTGATGTCAAGAATGAAAATCCTCCCTCTTCCAACTTCGACTAGGCTCCGACAAATAATAAGAGGAATGCCTTGTGAGTTTGGCTTTAATAAGCTCTCCCTTTCCAGCATAGGGGCTTTCATGAAGACTATGAAAGGAGTCCAGTGTTACGGCACACTAGTAATAGATGAAATGAAGGTACGCCAAGCCGTAGCTTTCAACCGTCAAACATACAAGATTGATGGGTTCGTAAATTACGGAGACGGTGAAGTTTCAGCAGCTACTGCTGATCATGCATTGGTTGCAATGTTTGTGCCTCTATTCCACTCATAGGGTTCAACCGATTGCAAGTTTTGCAACAAAAACGCAGCCCCCGGACCACGTGCTCGCCAAAATAGTTCTTGATGCAATCGTGCAGCTACGCAAACACAACGCCATAGTCGTCGCAGTAATCAGTGATGGCGCCAGCACGAACAAAGCAATGTGGTCCAACTTTGGCATATCAGGAAAGCTTCACACAGCAAACCACAAAGTTCAGCACCCATGCGAGCCAAATCAAGCCTCTACTTCCTTTGCGATGTACCCCACATTGTCAAATGCATTAGAAACCATCTTCTTCGACACAAATATGGCATGGTAAGTACCACGTACAGTACAATATCGCAATAAATAGTGTCGCGGTGCCAATCAAAATACATTTTCTTCGCAGCACTACATACGACTGACGGACTTTTTTTTCCCTCTCTTCTTCTTGCTCATAGATTGGTGAACATCGCATAAACTATGACCACTACCGAGTTTTGCAAGAAGTAGACGGCAAAGAGCAACTCCGCATTGTTCCGAAGCTTACCGCTGAACACGTCTGCCCTGACAACATGAGAAAAATGAGTGTGAAGCTCGCAGTACAGGTAAGATTACGAAAAGCTGCTTTTGAAAGAACTTATAGCTTACCTGATTATTTAGGCAAATTCTTCACATGTGAAACACAAACTTAACTGGTAACTGTGAGTGTTCTCCTTAAGAGTCTTTTTGCGATTAATAAATGCCCCTATACGTTTTCTGTCCCCTAGCTGCTCAGCCGAAGTACGGCTATCGGCCTTGATGTGTACCGGAGACTCAAGCAAGATGGCCTGGAAGACTGCGAGGGGACAGCCGCGTTTACCCCGCATCATAAATGACCTTTTTGATGCCCTGAACATCAAGCTTCCTCGTTTTGGGATAAGGAGCACATCCAAGGAAATTAAGGCAAGGGCGATAAATGTGCTACTTTTGAAAGAACATTCGCAATAGGTAATGTTAATCAGAACTGAGGCACTGGGCATATAAATAAAATACAAAACGCCGACAAACATTTACACCAACAAAAGCCTAGTTTAAGTAGACATTTATTTTGTAATTGAAGGAAGGTATTATTGAAAGAAAGACGACGAATAAAGTTCGTGGAACTTAGAACTTCTCCTTCCAGATAACTGAATAAACGTCGATGAGAAGGCGACACGCCGCAAGCGTGATTTCAAGTATTACCAGCTTCCATTTCATTCAGTGGCACACATGTTTCATTAAAAAATCAGGTTAAAAATAACTTTATGCCTTTCTTCAAAGGTCCCTTTTTTTATAGGGCAGTCGACGTTTGCATGTAAGAGCTAGCTTGCACAAAAAAGTAATGTCTAACATAAACTTTTCCCTTTTCTAGATCATCCAAGATTTCATGATTATCTTGGACTTGACAGAGAGAAACCACGTTGAGAAAGGAACAGCCATGTTCGCATCTCAAGTAACAATGGAGTCTCTAAGGGTGACTTTGTCATCTATCTTGGAACTAACAATGACCTCCTTGCTAAAGGTGCACGCTACGTGCTCACAGGCAAGCTTAATCAAGACCCCTTGGAGGTGAGATTAGCATAATTCCATAAACACTGCGCACTTACTTCATTGCATGGAAAATAACAAAACGGTTATGAGGAAGCATAGCGTGGTTTTAAACAGTCGTCATATCTCTATGTGAGATGTGCAATTCCCGCCTGAGACTTGCACTCTATAAATCCTCTTTATGCATTCCATACGCCATGCGTACTTTGACTTCTGAAAGAGATACATACGGTGAACTGACGTACGGCTTTATTACTACCATTACAGAGGTTCTTCGGAATCACCAGGAGCTTTGGAGGTGACGAAGACCATCCGACGATCCTGAGCTTTTCCCATATCTACAGGTTGCTGAGCCTGTACACACCTGTCAAGGCTTCGATTGCAGGCAATGTCCAAGAGGAGCCAACCTTAATACTAGCCACAGTGCAAGAGACGATGAAGCAAGGGAAGAAGCAGCAGCTGGCAACGTATGAAAAGTTGCGTGAGACAATCAGCGCAAAGATTTCCGAGGTTTGCTTGCCTGGAATAAGTTCAGCATCCCACTCGGGACCGACACCGCTTCCGGACCACGGATATGCTTTGCCAGCAGTACAGGAGTGGCGTCGTATATTACCTCTGCGGCTACATTGTACATTCTTTTCTGAAGCACGTCAACTGCGCTGCTTGCATAAGCAGCATCCAGTCAACAAACACTAAATTCCCCGCTTCACTACTGACATTGGCAAGAGAATTCAGGAACGGAAGCCTCAAGCATCCCTCTACAGAACTTTACACAATGTTGAAACGCGTCGAAGAAAACTGTCTCTCGTGCTAGGAGAAAACCATCTGTGCGCCGACATGTTTTGGGATGCGCTGGATGTCATCAAAGACTGCGATGTTCCAAGCGTTGGTTGTTCAGTTCATAAGGACATCCTGACATCGGAGATTGTACACTCATACGTTGTTTTGAGAATGCACTTTTTTACGAGAGATGTTTGTAAGAAGCTGAGTGCTTCTGGCAGGGTGTCTTCTACAAAAAAGGAAAGCCAAACTTCTCTAGACTACGCACCAATAAACTACGCAGTGATTTACACAGAAATGTTGCCAAGTAAAAAAAAAAACAGGAACTTGAACAAATGTGTTTGGTGGCTTTTCTTACAGTTATTGCACAGCACATGCACAGATCTCAGTGAATTAAGGCTGTAATGAGGACACGGGAACATCGGAACAGCATTAAATAACCTAGCAGGAGTCCCACGTAGAACACAGCCAGCTTACCGGCGACGCATGTCATTGGTTCGAAATTTGGGTATTCGAGTGTCAAACTAAAATGACGCTGTTCTTTTTAATTCGATTGCATTCCTCCCTTCATGAAGAGGTGACGAAGAGATGAAGGAGCTTCTCCAAGCTCCTTAATTCATATCCACTCGATTGGCATTCCGTGTTCCTAGTCATGCACATTCGATACATTTAATTGTCAATCGGAAAAACAATCTTTACACTTAATAAAACTTCTAGGCGCGTAAAACTTTTTTTTCGCCTTTTATTTTTTTTTTTTTTTTTTTTTTTTTTTTTTTTTTTAAGCAAGTGATCTTATCTTCTTTCTAACATATATATGTGTGTCGTAGTAGTAATAAATCAGTTGAAAGTCTGCGCTCGTCCTCGTCTCTTGTGTTAGTTGTCTGAAGTTTTAACGCGCCTAGAAGTTTTATATGGATTACCAACTAGCCCAATCCCACACTTTACTTAAGTACACTTAATAAAATAGTTGAATTTGCACAATTTAAAAAACTGTATCTACTTACAAACGGTATGCATTTAAAAAATACAAGCCGACTGTTACGAACCATTCTGTTAAAATTTGTTTGTAACTACGTGTTTCTTCTGCAAAAGATTGCTGTGCTGGGAACCAAAAAAAAAAAAGTGAGTTGTCTCGTAAGATATACATCATCGTATTATTCTCCCTGACAAGCCACACAGATAACGCACCGCAGCGTAAATGCAGCGGCATTGTATACAATAAAAACATGCGCAAGTTTTCAGAACTCGCGACTGTTTCATTTAGAACGCTTACTGTCGCTTTCAAATAAGAGCATGCTTTTATAGAAAACGCTCAATGTAAGGACTGCACGAGCAATGCGATCTCAAAAAAATTTTCAGGAAATTTCAGTTTATGCTCTCGGAGGCACCTATTCATTAGGCAAGCACAAGCTCATCACATCGAAACACCTGCGGAATGCAGTCAGCACCATCAGCACGTGGCAAAAAAGAACCACTCAGACTTCGTTCAGAGCTCCAAGCTGTGTCCACCTTCATCTATGCAGTGGTTGTAGCAGGAAGCTCTCAATATGCATCCGCTAACAAGATTCCTTGAGATATGAAGTGCTCCAAAACGCTGCGCCGTCCTTCGGAGACGGGGCGCGGAACAGACGACGAGCAGACGACGCACGAAGCTCGTCACATGACCAGGTCGCAAAGCGATCGCAGCGCCCCGCGTTTTGGGAGACTGTGAGCGGCCACGCCGCTTCCGTGGCGAGCCCATGCAGTTTCCCAACTGGCTCCATCCAGTAACGTTGTCCGTGACCACGCGACTTGTCATCGAGTCAAAGCCAGTCGAAGCGAAGACTTCATTCTAGCCAAATCAAAATCTGGCCACTGCTGTGCGCCCGCCAGCGAAGTGTGTGCGCTTGCCGAGTTGTTTTTCGGCGTACAAAAGTTCGTTCTGGGTGTCACCTCTGCGTACCGGTTTGCAGCAGCTCCAAAAAGCGTGCTTTATTGTTCAACTGGATTATGTAGTGCAGCCTTCGCGACAACAATTCGTCTCGATGCGTCAGTGACATGGGCAACACCAACGCGACACAGTGTAAGTGCCAGGCATTTTCGCTACGACCCTCTTATCAACCGCTCGTACAGTGTTTTTACATATTTGATATCCCCTATGGGCGTGGCGAAGCTGCACGGGCACTGTGCACTTGATAATTTATGCTTTTGCGGTTCAAATATTCGTGACCTAGAGTGACCCAAAACGGACTGTGACCGGCCGTTCGTGTCGGGAAAAAAAAAAATGTGTGGGAACGTTTTGCTTCCGCTGATGCAACGCGAAACTATGGGCGTAAATCTTAGCATGGTTTCGGAACTCGTCGCCTTGCGCTTGGGGACACGACAGGTTTTTAAGAAAGTTGGCTTTACGGAGAAAGCATTCGAGCGGCCGTTTTTTGGGGGGGGTCTTCCTTGTTCCCCCGATAACACATGCTCGACGAAAGCGAAGGTGTAATGCTTGTCTCGCCACATTGCTTAGGTTTTGTTTGACTGCATACTTGCTGAAGCTCAGTCCCCCGTATTTTCGTTTAATCTCTTCGTTATCGATTGCTTTTATTTTCTTCCTACACGCCCTTTTTAATTTGTGCGCTCACAGGCCTAAAATGCTGGGCTTCCCGCGTTACTTTCGTCGTTGCTCGGTCGTGTTTGCAGTGTGTCTATCGCGAATGATGTGGGTTACGCGCAATTATGTCATCACCTACTGATAAATAAGACTGCATTTGGCTACCGAGAGAGTCATCGCTCGTAGAAAGCGCTGTCTCTACAATTCAATGACGTGCGCGTAGTAGTTATAGCTTCAAAGTAGGTGTTCTGAAACTATTTTCATTATCGGCACACTTCCGAATATACGAGCGTATACCATACGGTAAGCCATATTGCTGCAAATGTTTCGCTTATGAAGGGCGATTTCCGGCAGTACTAGCTCAGATCTGGCCTTATCGATAACGCCGCGCGGTTGCGTTATCGAAAACTAATCGCACCGCGTTCTTGCCAATTTAGTCAGGTGCTGAGGCAAAAGCGTACTTGTAGTGGCTGGCAACCAGCAAATTACATTTTTAGAACACTGTAATTGCTGCAGAACCGCGCGTACTTAAGGAGTAACCGTATGACCGCACTAAAATTAATCATTATAAAAAAAACGTGTTAATTGCGGTTCAGTGTATCACGTGAAACATACTTACATACGGCTCGCAAATAAGTTTGTACGTTTGGTGTACATTTAAGCAGTTTACTGAGCTATCCTGTAGTTGTTTATGGGATGCAATTGTTTGCTTTTTCATTTTCGTCAGTTTTATTTGGGTGTAGGACTCAACTAGAATTATTGACTCAACTGGGCTCTAGAAATTTTTCAAGGCTATTGCCTCACTAAAAAAAGAAAAAAAATCTCTAATGCTACCACTAAGTAAATATGTAGACTACCAATCCTTCATCGTTCTTTGTGCACTTACACACATCGTAGGCAATTATATAATTCGCATGTGGTGATTCATTTAGTGCTGCTGGATTCGCTGCTTGGAACTACGGCACGACACTTCCATTCGAAGTGGCTTTCAAGAAAGTGTTTGCCCGAGCTTGTGTATTACAACAGAAATTCCTATTTTGAGAGGAGGTAATAAAAGCCTCACCATCCAAAAAATTTCGGAAACACCCAATAAAGTGCCCCCTGATAGTTCATTGGGCAGCTTGCTTATGTTGTTGCCAGTAAGTCACACTGGCTTACAACTGTTCAAAAAAACCCTTCATAACACAATATTTGGTATCAAGTTGTCTGAACAGGAGTAGGTGGACCAGACAGATTTAGCTGATTGGTACAAATAATAACTGGGTCTTAAGTGCCAAAACCACTAAAGGAATTGGAGGCACTCGTGCTGAGAACTGCGGCAATTTTGACCTTAAATGAGCACTGACATCGCAGAGAACATGGGCCTCTAGCATTTCACCCTCCATCCTAGCGAGACTGTCACTTTTCTGTCTTCCTCCCTCGGTCGCTTCCTCTCTCATTAGCTTACCTTCTACGTAGTGAGCTCCACACACACGTCTATTTGTTCGGCGAAATGCTATTTTATGCGTGCCAGTCCTCCGGCGGTTCGTGCTGACCGTTTCTGTACACTCGCACTGGTGTTCAAAAACCTTCGGTTTTCAAAAGAAGCTAGTGGGCTGCTTCTTTCTTCCGCAACTGTGGCTGCGATTAGAGCAACCTGCGATTGCGCCCATAACCGTCGTGGAGGAAGAAACTAGTAAGTTTAATTAACCGCGGTTCATAAAAATGGCCGATTGTTCAAAGCAGTAACGTTGAGTGACGTAGGTGCAAGCTATGTATAGGAAGAGAATAAGTGTGCAGATGACAGAAATATATATATATATACTGTTATAGGTACCATACAAAGTCATCTCCCACGCACTCCTTTGTTAAAGCTAACAGCATTCTGTAATGTAGCGGTGGCCAGTTACAACATTATCTTGTCTCCTGGATGTTCACAGTGTCACAGACTCCTCTAGGAACAGCTGGGACAACATCTTTCAGCAGTGGCCAGCCAATGGGCTTCCACGAAGTGCATGGCGAAAATGTGCGCTTGGAGCAAGGTGGCAAAGTGGCACGCCGAGCCGAAAGCTTCTGCAAGGCTATTGTCTTCAGCTCAAGGCCGGTGCAGGTCAATGAGAGGGTGGTGCTACGCATCACAGAGCTCTCTAACGGTTGGAGCGGGGCACTGAGGCAAGTGCTCTTCCATCATCAATAAGCTTCAGCCTGCTGATATATGAAAGTACTTGAAACTGTCTCGGTACACAATGAAAGTTCCTATGGGTCAGAGACAACTGCGAAAGAAAAAATGTTACACGTAAACAGGGAACAAAAAGTGATACTGCGGCCGAAACTAAGCGGCTGCCTGTAACTTGATTGTGACACATCTGTACAAAGCTCACAGAATGGAACCGGGCTTCGAAAATTCGTTTTTATCTAGTGGTTTGTGAAGAATCTCGAGATAGCCACATTGTGATGAGGCCAATCTGGCTAATAAAAATTGGTGTTGGCTCGGATTGCAAGTGAACATTTCACTGATGCGACACAAACTGAAAGTGGTAGGTGCAAAAATATGTGCAATGATTGGCCCTGATTTGCCGCACTTCCTTCTTGCGGCAACGTGCATCTTTCTCGATAAGTGAAATGCTTGCAAATAATACACCTTTTCTCGTTGAGTTTGTACGAAGTATGGCTGGGTCTGGAACAAGGAGCCTCATCTTGGTAGACACAGCCACACGAAGACTGGAAAGCATGGGGGTCGTTGTTGATAGTTTAAATTTAATTGTACTTATGAAATTAAAGGAAATTGAAGTGGACGAAAGAACTCTCGACTGATGGGGAAAACCGATAGACTTCGCGTTATGCATACAATGCTCTACCAATTGTGCTACTGCAGTGGCCGTTCTCCGGTTCACTTTCTTGTATGTTTCCGCGTGTTTGCCATCTCTCAGTGTGTTAGCAGTGCCTCTTGTAGCCATGACCAAGAACATGCAGCGTAATTTTTGTTGTGCGTCTGGTGCATAAATAAATAAGTACCTCCTAATGACACCGTAAAGTAACCATCTCAGTATCCGAGGATTTTTTGTGGCATGGGAGCTTGCCTTGCGCTTATCAAAGTGGCTAACTGCCTCCGCATGCACAGCTGAGCCAAGCAAAGTGTTACATTTGAAGCATTTTGAAATGGTACTAATGTGCAGTGCGACACAGTGATAAGGAGGTATTTATGTGCATGGGCTGATTAAAAATGACAGCGGTGAATTGCTGAAAACTGAAATTATTGCCCGACTCATCCTTCCACTTGCTTTTCTTTAAACAGGCTGGGCTTCACGTCCCATGACCCTAGCACTCTACAGGGAACTCTACCGAAATATGCATGCCCGGATTTGACGAACAGGCCCGGTAACTGGGCCAAGGCACTGGGCGAAAGGTGCGGTTCTTTGTCATAAGTCTCTTTTTGCAGGTGGTCTGTTCTTCCTAGGTTAATATGCTCACACAGAGATTACTTTTTTATTCTTTTTTACCCAATTGCACAAAGTTTTGCCTACTATTTCGCCTGTATTGGCCACATGATTGATGGGTGCTCAATTGATAAATCTAGCAAAAGCCTTCTTTATATGCCTTTGTAGTTAGTGCTGTCCTGGAATGTTTTGTACAAGGTTTGGCTTGCTTATGTAATTAGGGCAACGTAGCAAGTGTAAAAAAAATAGTTTTGAAGAAAGAATTTTTGCAGTAAGTCCTAAAATATTAAGTTTATGAGTATCATTGTTGACGCCTTCAGCTTGCAGATTGCGCTAACTTTTGCAGGTACGCCGTGGCAGACACATTGCTGCATTACTATGTCAACAACGCGGGTGAGGTCTTCTTTGGCATCAATGGTGAAGAGAAGGGTCTTTTTCTGAATGGCGTTGATGTCAGGGGACCTCTATGGGCACTTATTGATATTTATGGAAACACCACAGCCATCAAGATGGTTGGTAAGCGGCTTTAAATATACTTTGCTTGCCTCTGTATCCTCTTAAAAACATTTACCTAAATTTCTAGACACTGGAAACTGAACCATGACAGGTTTGTCTCCCGTTTTCTGTGCGTTGGGTTCACGAGCCAGCATACTCGCTCAGTTATTATCACAAAGGCGCCGATCGACCCATGAGTATGAGTCTAAGTAAGCCAGGCTGAGCTAAGTATATTGCTAATTTCAAGTGCTGAGCACAACATTGCTAAATCTGAGTGCACAAATTAACATAGCTGAGTAAAATTACTTGTGAATCCACGTACCATACGAGTCATAAAGATTTTTTTATTTTTTGAGTGCGTTTGAGTGTGTTTCATTTGTGGGGCATACAGTTCTTTATCTACCTGTTTACTTTTGGTGAAGTTTTATCTTTTTACCTTGTTACTTTGTTAACCTCATTAAACATGCTAGAGGACTGTTGGTAGTTCGTAAAAGTGTTCGATTAAAAAAGTTAGGCTCGCCTTTTAATCTGTTGTCGCCTCCTGATTTACAAGCATGCTTTGAGCTTATAAAAAGGTGTGCTTGGAGGCAACAACTTGGGATACACTAATGCACATCCGTGATTACATCTTGATATAATTTGAAATCGTACTTTTTCTTAAAGTGCAGTCAGTAATGGTTTCTCTTTTTACATTGAATTGAAAGGCACACAAAAATGTCCAAGTATGTGGGCAGTAGGAAGAATGCACCAATCACTTCTAATGCTTTTTTTTTTTTTCTTGCAGAGGATGAGCAATTACTGAACAACCGAAATGAAATGATTCGAAATGGTAAGTTATTTGTCAGAGTTGAACATTTTGACTTCGATCACTGTAGTATTCTAGCAATTAAATATTCTTGCTACATGTGGTGTACCGCTGGAGCCTACTTTTCGACAAGAGGTTTTCTTCATTGCTGCAGTTGCAGCATTAAAGAATAAGTCCTGCTTGCATGAATGATGGAAAAACTATAAACGGCTAGAGAAAACAAAAATGAACCGTATTATCCTCAGGTAATCATTGTCGGGAATAAAATTTTCTTGTAACTAGCATAAACGCACTGGCGTAGATGAGCAAAGACATTCTTGGAACAAGACCAAGCACACTTTTATCTTATCACATTTCTGGAAACGTTTCTCTTGTCGAAACAATGCAGGTCACAGAAAATACAGTTTAACCTCTTTTAAAGGGGGAAGCTCCGGGAAGCAGTTCTTGTATTTTATATGCGACGTCTTATAAGCAAGGTACCATGCATGCATTTTATTATCAACCCGTATTTTACTGTGGGCACCCTGGGATCTCTTATACCCATTTGTCTCTTATATCAGTGTCTCTTATAAGCAGGGGTTCGAATGTATTGCGAAACGGTAAAGTAACCTTCAAAGAGATTGTGTAGGAGTGTGGCTCGAGTTTGCTAACACTTTGCTACGCACACTTAGCTGTGACCTTGATCAGCCTGTGGCCAAAAATTTGTAACCGCACATTTTCCAATGCGATTTCTCTTTAGTTTAGACATTGTCAGTTAGGAAATTGCCACTTACTTTTATTAGTCTCATCAGTTGGCCACACACATTAAACAATAACTGTGGCACTAAATGTAGTCAAAAGACACTGCCACAGAATTGCGGCTCATATCTCTATTATTGTCATGCTGCTGCTAAACGTAGATTACAAACCTCTGTGTGCACTTGAACATCATACATCGAATCATAAACGTCTATTACCACTGTGATCACATCGGTCATTTTTTGTCGCTTCAACACTCCATTTTTGTCGAGCACGCACTTTGAGGCTATGGTTTGTGCCAATCAAAATTGCTTGAAAAATATTCTCACTGCTTAACGTGTAAACTAATGCTGGACATATGCTTTTGTGACTTGGTCACTTGGATTAGCTTTGCTTGTCCTCAGCCTTAGGCACATCAGCGCTTCAGTAGTTTCAGTTCGGAAAAGGTGTGTTGTCAACATATCAATATTCAAACATGTTCTTTCTGCTTGACCACTCGGCCTAGCAGTATCAAAGCTGATGTCTGGATTATGGCACAAGGGGCTGCATTTTGCCCAAAAGTTTGGTCACCCCTATAATTCGGCATGTCTAGATTACTGGTCAGTTACTATATTTGGTTCTGTTTTATAACTGCCCTGGATAATTTGTCTTCTTGCTTTTAAGTGTTGCTAGCTGCATGCATTCACATTTACGCACCAGTTAAGTTGATGTAAATTCGCGTTGAACGTGCCTCATAACAACTTCTGATTGTACTTTGCAGTCGCCTTAAACACTGGCGGTGTGGAGGACCTTATTCGACAGATGGAATTGGTTAATTCTAGAGAGACAGCAGCGATGGCTCCAGTGATTGCCGATGTATGTATGGGATTTGATTAGTCTATCTGTAATTTTTGTTGTGGCTACTGCAGAAAAATGTCTACCTTACCAGCACCACTTGCAACATAATGCATTGAACTTGCACCTCCATGGAGTTCACTTTTGTCGTAATTTTTCCCATCTCTCTCGCTAATGCTGAAGTTAATATCCAGGTTTCTTGTAAACCACCTACTTTAGGCTTTCTGGTTGTAGCATTGTGTTGGCTACTCAATTGTGGCAGCCATGTTCTTTTATGTTCGAATGTAAAAATGCTCATTTAAAGTACCAAAAAAACCCTTGAGGGTTTTTTTTTTTTTTTGTCAAGTGCTTCTCAAAAAAATGTTTGTTTTTTTATCTTGTTGAAGTAAATTCTTCGATGAATTTCCGAAAAAGTTTTTTTTTGTGTGAATGGAAAGGGAAAAAAAATTTGTGCTGTTACACACACATGGTGTATTTGTAACAGCAAGGTAAGTTCTTAAAAAGCATAAATGACTACTGTATTTACTCGAATCTAGGCCGACCCCAATTCTAAGCCGACCACGAAAAGTCCAAAGCCCTAAAAAAAAATTGTCTCGAATGTAGGCTGAACTAAACAACCAAGGCAGCGTTCACATAGAGAAAACATTTATTGAACATAAAGATGAAACAAAGCAGTTGGTCTGTGATACAAATTACTCGAGAGACATACAGGCCCTAGTCCAGTTGTGTGTGTTTCTTTGTAGTTTTTTTTACGCCGCTTCTAGCTATTTGCATCATAAAGATGCCGTGCTTTCAGATTCCACGTTCATTCTGAGCCGTAATTGCCGACTTCCTGACGCTGTCTTCAAACAGTGCGCAATCCTTTGTGCCATCAAGCACACTGGATATGCCGCTATTCTTAAAAGAGTGCACAATCAAAGTTCCTGGGATGTCATCCCACGGTGTAGCCCCTCCAGTGACGCACATTTATTTGTCCACTCTAAAGTCCGGCCCGCTTGAACATTGCATGATGACTCTGCGGCTAGGACAGTTTTCTTTTTATAAGCGGCATTACGATGACAGCGCCTCTTTGGCACCAACGAGTACACCGCACACACACTTGTGTGCGGTGTACTCGAAGCATGACTCGAAATGACAGACTGCTCTCCTCAACACTTGCCACAAAGATCAAAATGGCGGCTTCATGTGTGTACTTACACCAGGTGTTGACTCGGCTAACAACGACTACAATACCATCTAGGTGGCGCTAGGTGTGCATCACTTTTGTCAGTGAAAAATGGCGCGTTTTTTTTTTAAATTCTCAAATCAAAGCCGACCCTGGAGTTTGATAGAAAAAAATTTGAAAAAAAAAAAAACTATTGGCCTAGATCCAAATAAATACGGTATCATTACATGTTGATGTCTGTGCGATTCAAACACTTGTAAAAGTTACGAAGTGACGTTAATTTGAAACGCAGAGGCAAAAACGGCCACTTTTGATGCAGTCTGCATGAGACAACAAAGCAATTTTTGCGAGTCTCCGAAACGGGAAATCCAACGACATCATTTTTGTCAGACAGCGCCTTTACAGAAACAAGCGTCATCATTTACCGAAGAGCAATAAACAAGACAGTAACAAACCCCTCACCTTATGAAATATTGTGAACCAGAAAGTCATCAGTCTTGCAAGCGCAACAAACAGGAACCGACCGAAGTGTGAAATCGAAACTATTCAGCCCATCGCTGTCGCAAAGCATTGAAGAAAACAAACATCGGGGCAAGGAAAAAATATCACATATGCTCGCAGTGTGGTAACACATGTCAAGCAAAAGGAACCATCCAAAAAAGGCGTGCGTTTTAAACGTACAGTAGTGAAGTACATGTACACCTTTGACCCAAAAAGGGTTAAGGTACCAATCCATTTTCCTCCTTTGGAAGGAAGTATTCTTTTGAAAGCAATGTGGTTAGTTAAAGGAACACTGAAACGAAATCTGGAAATTTTGTGAAAATGGTAAAAACGAGCTGTCACTGTACCATTACACCAAAGAAGTCCTCAGTTTTTAATCTCCCGCAGGGGTCTTTTCTATGTATTTGTGAGTGTGCGCCAAGCCACTTGACCCACATGAGTTGGAAGTTGTCACGATGCGGCTTTCTCTTTCGAGGGCTAGCGAGCCAGCCGGCCACGGTCTTTAAAAGTGCGCACGCCGTCACATAGGTGCACAGTATGCATTCGCGTCGCGGTCCATTCACCAGCAATGACTTACCTCTGATGATGCGAACCACTTTAATATGTGAAGAAACCACAGTTACGAGCCCAATGTACGAAACACAAAGAAGAGTAGGCAGCCATTGACGTGCCAGATAGGAAATGCAAGCCACAACCAATGGTCCAGCGTGCAGGGACAGCAGCAAATAATGTTGCAGAGATTGTAAATTGTGCTGTTTCATCAGCTTCGTTGAGACAAAAAAGCTGTTATTACAACGAAATTAACACATCGTGGTTCATCATTTTGTATGTATCAAAGCATTAAGCACAACTAAAGGTTACTGAAAAAAGAATTATTCTCGTCTTCTTCTTTTTTTTTTAATCGCTTTGTTGTATTCATCATATTTAGCACTGAAACCCTCATTCTGCTGTAAAACATTGCCTACAAAATTATTCTTCTGGATTCCTTGAACATTTGCATGTGCTTCTGCTGCCTTTTTGTTGTTGTCAAAGTCTAAATTGTTCTAAGCAGGCCCTGGAATTTCAACACTCGTGACCGCAGCATTGTTTCCTGTCAGGATTGGAACTAGCTGGCCGACGTTTGGCTGCCGGCTAGGTGCCACAATTTAGAAAATCCAAGAGTCCCTCTATGCGTTTTTTTTTTTTAGAAGTATTTGGGTTTTGCTCTTGCAACGTAATATGGGCCTGTCGTCTGAATTTTTGCAGGATTACCGGTGACAAGTAATGCACCAGCAGTCATGAAAATCAAACGTTCCCGGACCACTATGCCATGTATTTCTTTGGAAGCGTGGCCTGGGAACTTTTGACCAAGGCTGTGCCTTGCATCTAGGCTATAGCAATTTTCAGCAGGTTAGCCTGCCCAGATTTACCTGAATCTTGTGCAATACGCAGGCATCGAGTTTGGATACACTTGACGGCACGCCATTGCAATCTCCGCCCCACCGTCGTCCCACCACCATGCACGCTCCTAGCAGTGCAACTTGGCAGCGTCTGGTGTTCCACAGTGTGCTAGGTCCAAACTGCAGGCTAGACCCGATGGACAAGTGAGTGGAAGTTGCCTGGCACTTTGGCGCTGCCTGAAAAAGATCACGCTTTGTAATGATTGCTTCTGCCAGGAAGTTGTTCGAGTGAATTTCTCGGCCATTTTTCATGCATCAGCAAAGGCCATTGTGGGTAATATCAGATAAGTACGCGTGCGGTAAAGTGAAATTTTTTGGACAGATTTGTTGTTTGAATGAAATCGCTGCTTCTAATATGATTGGTTTTGTACCTGTTTCCGCACGTCTATTGGTAAACACATCTCCTGACAGAACATATTTTCCTGGTTCCTCTAGGTTCAATTTAACAAAAGTCTACTGTATTAATACAATTTTGGGCATATTACCCGAAAAAAAAGTAACATTGCTATGGCTGACTACCAGGAGACAGAAAGTAATTTTGCTGCTCTGTATACAATTTTTTTAGTTTACATGAAGCGCCTAGTGTGCATTTATGCATTAGTTGGTTTTTGTCTCGCATTATTTTTCCGACAACCTTATTAATGTTATCCTTTACAGGCTAGTCGCAGAACGTTGCGACATTGGAGAGCAGCGGGCATTCGTCTTCGCTTCGCGCACCCTTTGTCCGAATGAGCGGCTTACAATCAAGGTGACAGGCATGGACCAACTGCTATCCGGTTCTCTGGCCTTTGGCCTGACGACATGCAATCCGGCATCTCTCCAACACACTGCATCTGAACTCCCTGCCGACCTGGAAGCACTACTCGATCGGCCAGAGTACTGGGTCTTCCAGAAGGACATTCCCTGTTTACTCAATGATGAACTCACCTTTGTCACTGGGGATGACGGTTCGTGGAGCTTTTAACTTTATGAGCGTTTAGTGTGCTTGCGCTAGCTGCAGTTCGGTAACACGTTCAAAGTGTGAGATTGGAAATATTTAATCAACTACTTTACATTGTGTTTTCATGCATGAAGTTGCATTTCAGGTTGAAATAGAATGATGCTTTGACAAATAGTGCTAACTTTTTTACAGAACTCACGAGTGCCGTTCTTAATTGTTCAGCTGTGTCGTCACTATGGGCGATTCCGGAAGTGACAGTCACTTGCATCTTGTTATTCGTTGTATCGGGCTTTTGTTGCACACAAGTGAATCTTCTTATGCGAAAGTATGCCATTGCACAATATATACCTTTAAGTTCATCTTTAACTTCTACCTTTAATTGTTTACCATCTCATTCTGAAACCCTGAAAGTGCACTTCATTTAATGAAAATGTGATTAGTTGAACCGCTCTGTCTCCAGTTCTAGTGAATTGGCACAGTCGCACTTGTTGCAATCAACTCAAGATGTTGAATCTGAAAAAACAGAAGGGTACTCCCGCAACTTCAGCTTCCGTTGGAGTTGCACGTGGGGCTCGGGGAGGAATCCTGTGCACTTTTGTACACGGGTAATTCGTTTCTGTGCTCTTGCAGGAAAGGTTCAGTACTCTCAGAACAACGGACCATTCAAAATGCTTATGTACGTGGACGGCACGCAACAATTCTATCCATTTTTCGACATCGCTGGCAGGGTGACAAGGATCAGGCTTGTTGGTTAGTCTTTGCTCTCTTGTCTTTCCCAGTCTTGGTGCATTTATTTTGCTGCTTTGCCAACTTTTGGGAGCTTACAACAGTGGTTGCCTTACTTGTCAGTGTCATCATTGGTGTCTGCAGTGTTTTTTTTAATGAATCTCCTTCTGTGTGGAAAGCAAAAATTAAGGTGCAGAAAGCTTACGATTGCCTTTTCTTTAACAGTAAAACAAGGCTTTAGCTGCGTGTCAGTTTCAGACGTGCTGTGATACTTTAGCAGCTAGAATCACACTGCTAAGCTTGATAATGTTTGCTTCCTGGCCACGCCGGCTAAGATTCAAAACCCTTCTGTGTTTACATTTAGGCCCACATCAGTTAAATAAATATAGATGGCAAAAATAATCTGTTGGTATCCCGCTATGGCTTACCTAATGATCGTGGCAGAGTTCTGGTGCGCGAAGCAGTGAAGTAAATTTTAAATACTGGATGCTAGAATAGTTGGCCATGTCTTCTGATACTCTTCTTCCTTTTATGTTTGTATAAAAGATTACAAAAGACATTATAAACTTGCAGGGAGCAAACGAGGATCACCCGTAACCAAAATAGAGCAAAGCACAGAGCAGCCCATCGTCGAGAAGAGCACTGCGAAAGCGCCCAAAAAACCACTTGGTAAGGACGGCTGAACAGTATTAGTGCTGCTAATCTTGATACTAGAGCAGTAACGCTGATTAACCTCAGTATGACAGAAGTTACAGCATAAAAGCTGCTTCATTACACTCTCAACTGCCGACTTTTCAGATGTGCTTGAAAATTCAGACCCTTCTACGGTACCACAAGCTCCGCGAACGCCCCCCTGTGAAGTTAATGCATAAAAACGTCTGAAATTTCTTGCATTTCATTGTCAGATTTTTCAGACTATCTGTTCAAATTGCAGGTTCGAAAGAGCACTGGTTGAAGACACCACCACTGTAAATCGTGAACTTTTGTTAACCTTCGCTTGCTATGAATGCAATGAACTAATAAAATATTATAGCAATCTTTTGTCTCACAGTAGTGCTCAAAGTCCAAAATCCGACAGCATGCTGATTCCGGTGTTGAAATATTTGGGGTGTCAAGATTGAGCCTGCATCACCTTCTAACACAGTCCAACTGGTGTCACGCTTGCCTCTTCTAACACAGTCCAACTGGTGTCACGCTCAGCTGGGTTCTTTCAGCTAGGGGCAGTACATGTGGGCACGTGCATTGTAGGCTTGTTTTGTTATTTTGTGTAGTAATCTAATTAGCTTTGCATGCCTTAGTGTTGGACGGTCATCACAGCCTGTGCGTGTGACGTCTTTACAGCACCAAACTCAAAACTGTACGATGCTCCGAACTTGAGTCATCTATATCGGCAGGCATCGCTACATCGCCATTTTCTGTCGACGCAGGGACTTTTGATTGGTGGAGATCGGTCGGGTGACATCAGCTGTAGAGCTTTAGGGACTGCAGACCAGGGAACTTAAATTGTGCTTTTATAGCTATTAAATGAACCCGCATGATGAAACGAGTCGAGGTATTGTATCAAATGGACGGCCAGCAGTCTAAATACACACGGAGCTGAAAACTTTTGGCGAATCATTTGTTATTCCTTTGTTTCCATTTTTGTAGAAAATACTAATAAGCCCATGCATCTGATCACTCTAATTTTGCATTGTCTTCTCCACAGAGGAACCTGACGACGACTGCCGAATATGCTTCGAGAAGCCAATCGACAGTGTGCTTGTGAAGTGTGGCCACTCGCTGACCTGCCACGAATGTGGCCTGAAGCTCCTGAAGGAAGCTCCTCAGTGCCCCGTCTGTCGACAGCGCATACAAGAAGTCATCCGCATCTACAAAGCCTAAGCTAGCTGGCGATAGTCGCCCGACTGCCTGTGTATCACTCGACAAACTGTGAACTGAAAATGTGGCGGTGTAGCGTGCAAAGCGAGTGTGCCGTTTCAGCGGAAATGCAGTCAACGAATTAACTTTGCCTCAAGTGAAACAGAAACCAACCGAAAAGCAGAAACCCTGAAGATTGCTGTGCAAGTTCTTTGCAGCATTGGGCTCATCTCATGCCTGAATATTTTTACCGTTCATGAAATTTTTCAAGCTTCTGAACCGTGCATTTGTTGTAAAACTAATAGTTGTCCGCGGGTGCCATCATTTCTGAGCACTATGTGCTTGCAGCACCGCAGCATCCAGTGTTCCCAACAGAAACGTTGAGTAGAGCTACACATTACCAACAGAAACTATGGTGTAAAATTAGAATTTCTGTTGCGACACAGAAGTATCCTTCTGAATGAAACTGAAAAAATTTTTTAGTTCACGTACTTCATGCAAAAACAGCAAACTGGAGTATATGTTTACAGTAGCAGAAAAGATTTATGCCTCCACAAAGAAAGTCCTCCTGCTCCACTCCTTCAGGTTTTCAGTGCAGTAGCTCACAAAAATACAAGTGTATTGATGCGTAAAATGAACCGTTACGTGCGTTCTCAGTTGGGGGCACTTCTTGGAATAAGTGCCCCGAATATAAGTAGGCGCAACTTTTAACGTGGTGTGTCAACCTCTATGGAATGGCTAAAGATTATTGCGCGATGTTTTCGAGAACTCTGGGCTTTTCTACCGCCTAGCACAATTTTTGCTGGTGTCAGATGCACAAGTGGTCACCATATTTGTTTGGTGTTGCTTATTCTGATGTTACGTTTACGTTAGTATTCTGTTCTTTAATGTAATTTTGCAGCAATAAGTTGCTATGCTCTATTATTTACGGTTAGTACTGCTGCAATTCTTTGAGACGAGCTAATGCGTAAAGCTTGTCAATAGAGATAGGACAGATTAACAACAAACAACGTCTTTTCTGGAATGTTTTTAGAAGTCTACGGTAAAGAGTCCTGCATTTTAAGGTTCTGCAACTTTATTTAGAAGAAATAAGTTCGGAGTATGCGATCATTGTAACTATACGCTTACAATAAAGTGAAGCGGTTGTTTTTTGCCTTGAACATATGTACAAAGCTGAGCCAAGGCTGTAAAAACTTTGCATGAGACAAGAAGGTGTCATTTATATGGGAGCCTAATGTTCATAATACAAAGGATTGTGTTTCATTCATGCCGATAACACCCTTCTGCAATGGTAAAGCTTTGTCCTGTACGGTCTTATGAATGACATGTGATTCCTCCTCGCTTTTTTTTTCTCTCCTAATGCATAACAATATGCTTACATATGTCTGAACATCATGCTATATGCAAGACATTTGACTGCGTTGATTCCCAGTGATTTTCACAAGAAACAAAACCACCAGTTGGTATAACGTAAAGCTTATATTGGTATTGTTGTACTGTTACCATGTCTACTGCCCGACTAATCACTCTCAGTTACTAATCACTCTCACTCTCAGGTTTCCAGCAAATGAGAGATAAAAAGTATCTTTTACGACCTTGCTTTTGTTTCTTAGTTCTGAATTCAGCTTGCATTGTTGTAAATATGGTTTATATATATATGAAGGACTATTGGGCATCTTTTTTTTCTATGAATAAAACAGTCAATTAATAAACTTTGCAGGTTTTTTGTAGCCCTGGCAGTCTGGATCTTTTTCACATCGCCTTGGCATACCTCAATGAAGTTTAGGGGGATATTCAAAAACAAGGCTTTTCTTTGCAGAGTTCAAAAGTAACCTCCTCTTTTGCCAAATAAATAAAAACGAAGTTCTGAAATCAATGCCCTGCTGGTACTGTAAGGTGATTATCGCTTGTCTTGGTGACATCTCTGACACTGGCCCAATCGTATTGACCCATGTCTACATATATGTGGACAAAAACGATGATGGGGGGGATTTAGCGGACACCAGGTAGTGGGCCTCTGGTTTGACTCAAGAGCGAAGAAGACAATCTTGTGGCTCAGCTATTGAGAACACGCTGCTTTCGCTGTCTCAAGGCATACCTGTGCTTTGTTCGCGTTGTACCGCGACACTGGTAGAGGTGCTGGCCTGGACCCCGCCTAATGCTCCACACTCCCACGGGGAGCCGTTCATCCAGCCCGGACACACTTGTCGACACTCCTGTGCATCGCTTCAGTAGTGGCTTGCGAGGCCTCCCTTCAGAGTTCACCCCATCGCAGGAACACTCTATAAGGCTCCGCTCACATCTACCAATGGCCACTGCCAGTCCACAACAGTTACTATGAAACAGTAGTTTGCAAACCCCATCTCAGGTAGCCCTTTTTTTCACCGCTGGTGCCTGATCGCTTTGGTGGTGGAGCACATGAAGACGTCGAAAACTGGCTTGATTACTATGAACGTGTCGCCAACACCAACCAGTGGTCTCTTGAACAAAGGCTTTCCTGCGCCTATTTTTATCTCTATGACAGTGCTCGTACTTGGTAGGAGAACAAAGAAGGCAGCTTGTCAACATGGAGTGACTTTAAAAGAGCGATGATTGACACATTTGCCGATGTTGACCGGCGCGAACGTGTGCAGCATTTACTCGAGCTACGGGTTCAGAAACCCAATGAAACGGTCGCAATGTTCACTGTGGACCTGGCCCGTCTCTTCCGTAGAGCTGACCCGCACATGACCAACGACAAAAGGTTACGCTACCTCATGCGCGGCGTTAAAGAGCAATTGTTCACCGAACTTTTGCGGAACCCGCCCAGCGCCGTGACAGACCTCATCAAAGAAGCTACGGCTATCGAACGGGCACTTCACCTACGATGCCGACAATACGATCGCTTGTCCAGCAGCGCCCACATTCAAGTCGCCGCTACGACATCTGACAATCAAAGCTCGTTGCGCGATTCAATACGAAAGATTGTTCGCGAAGAGCTGCTGAAGCTGTGGACTGTGATTACGGAACCACCCAAGGCGTCTGTCGCTGAAGTCGTTCGCGAAAAAATACGCCAAGCATTTTCAACAGCTGATCCTACTCACGATCAGCGACCTATTAGCCATGCAGCCGCGCTTCGCCACCTGTTGCACCGTCGTACCACCAGCCATCGGCAGCCGTTCCTTGATCGCCACCGCAAGAACAGACAACGCGGCGCCCTGCCATCGTGCCGCCGTTCGAAATGTCGCAGTACCAAGAGCTGTCTCCCAATGATACACGGCATTTGCCACATTACGAGCCGTTGCAACGTCCACAGCTTCGTAAAACAGACGCGTGGCGCACTGTACATTGGCGTCCGCTTTGTTTTACCTTCGGAGGTGTGGGCCACATTTCCCGTCATTGCTGGCACCGTGTCGATACGTTTCGACCTCTTCGGCAATGGTCGGATGATCGACGCGCCAACGACGACTACGCACCACGCCGGGAAGCTCCTTTTCAAGGACTGCCCTTGTCTCAGTTTCATTTTGACAACCGCCGTGCCAACGACGACAGTGTGCCTGATTACCAGCCAGGTTTGAGACATCGACCACGCTCTCCGCCTCTGGCATATTCGCCTTCGTCGCACCACCACACTATAGCCGACGTCAGTGGAAAGAGGTCACCAAGTCCACACTGGGGAAACTGAAAGGGGCGACCTCCGGGGGTGAGGTTGCAGACCGTCAAGGCGATGAAAAAAAGCCCCCGTTACTCTTACCACAGGACGCCGTAAAGTCGAGCAGTTGTAACACCGACGAAACTGTGACCACAGATCTTACCATTTCTGTAGACGGACAGCAAGTAACAGCCTTAGTTGACACCGGTGTCGACTTTTCTATCATAAGTGGAAAGCTTGCCATACGCCTAAAAAAGTGAAGACTACGTGGACGGGACCTCGCCTGAGGACAGCAGGCGGCCAGCTGTTGATGCCTATCGGAAGCTGTACAGCAAGGCTCGACAACGGTGGCTCTTCTTTCGTGGCGACGCTCGTCATCTTCACCTCATGTTGCAAGGACTTGATTATAGGGATGGACTTCTTAGAGAATATGGTGCCGTCATCAGCAACCTGGACCATTCAATTACGTTCCGTTACAGCCCCGGTTTAGTTGACTGTTTAGACGCAGTATGTAACACTTTACGTATGATTGATGATGATGTAGTCGTCCCGCCACGGTCATGCACTCTTGTTTCGGTGGAAGGGCACGAAGCGTTTGTAGCGAAGGCATTGCCGACCAAATTGGCTCGCTGCTATTTAACCAGGGCATTTCGGTTGCACGAGGTATCGTCCGTCTCACTGGTGGACGCACGAATTTACTTCTGACCAACTTTAGTACTGAGCGCCGGCATCTTCCGAAGGGCGCAGCTATCACTTCGTACGACGATATCGTAGAAATGCGAGGCAGTTTATGTTTGTCGGTATTGGACGAAGCGCCTAATCAAGAACCAGAACCCGTTCTCGACGTTGGCATCACCCTGTCAAAGGACGAGCGACAGAGACTTCTTCAGCTGCTAGCCGAATTCCGCGACTGCTTTTCATCGACATCATGAGTTGGTCGAACACCTTTGACAAAGCATTGAATAATCACCGAGGACACGGCGACACCTATCCACCAGAACCCTCATCGTGTAGCTTTAAAGGAACGCGAAGCCATACAACAAGCCGTGAAAATGCTTGAAGATGATGTCATTCAACCATCACAGAGCCCCTGGGCATCGCTTGTAGGGCTAGTAAAGAAAAAGGACGGCACCCTGCATTTTTGCGTGGACTACAGGAAGCTGAATCGGGTGACCAAGAAAGATGTGTACCCGCTCCCACGTATTGATGACTCCCTTGACAGACTTCGGCATGGTCGCTACTTTTCTTCCATAGACTTGAGGAGTGGATACTGGGAGATCGAGGTAGACCCAAGATATCAAGAAAAAACCGCTTTTGTGACCCCAGATGGTTTATACGAATTTAAAGTCTTGCCTTTCGGTTTGTGCTCCGCGCGCGCGTCTTTTCAAAGGTTTATGGACACGGTACTTTCGGAATTGAAGTGGAAGACGTGCCTAGTCTACCTGGACGACGTTATAGTGTTTTCGACCACTTTTGATGAGCATCTAAAAAGGCTGGAAGTTGTTTTACGTGCCATACGGTCCGGGGGCCTAACATTGAAACCAGAACAGTGTCATTTCTGTTTTCACGAACTTCAGTTTCTCGGTCACGTCGTCAGCAATGCAGCCGTCCGGCCCGATCCTGGAAAAATTGCCGCCGTCGCACAGTTCCTAGTACCCTCCAATAAGAAGGCTGTCAGACGCTTCCTGGGCCTTTGTGCCTATTATCGCCGGTTTATCGCAGACCTCGCCCGCAATGCATCATCATTAACTCGTCTCACAAGAGACGACATTGTCTTTGAGTGGAGAGAACAGGTGGCTGCCTTTAATGACCTACGCCAACGTCTTCAAACGCCCCCGGTGCTTGCCCACTTCGAAGAAGAAGCCCCGACGATGCTTCACACTGACGCTAGCAATGTAGGTCTTGGGGCTGTGCTTGTGCGACGGCAAGGGGACACAGATAGAGTGATCCCCTACGCAAGCCGAACGCTAACACACGCAGAGGCTAACTATTTAACAACAGAGAAAGAATGCCGCTCCGTAGTATGGGCAGTGATGAAATTTCGCCCGTACTTGTATGGCCGGCACTTCAAAGTTATTAGTGATCATCACTCCCTTTGCTGGTTAACTAATCTAAAAGATCCCACCAGCCGATTAGCGCGTTGGAGCCTAAGACTGCAAGAGTTGGACATGACGGTCGTACACAAGTCAGGCAAGCGACATATGGATGCTGACTGTCTGTCTCGTTCACCCATTGAGTCGGCAACCCTACCTGAGGAGGAGGAAACGGCATTTCTCGGTGTCCTCGACACGACCGCCATTGCTCAGCAACAACGTGACGACACTTGAGTTGCTTGGCTTACTTAACTACTTGGATGGCAGATCTCCGAAGGTGCCAAGAGTTTTCGCAAGAGTGTTGTCATTGTTTTGTTTAGGGGCGGCGTACTCTAGAAAAGAAACTTTTCGTCGACAGGATCCACCTATCTGCTCGTCATCCCAGCAGCCCTTCTTACCGAAGTACTCAAAGCATGCCACAACGAGGTGACTTCTGGTCATTTGGGTTACACGAGAACGTTGGCCAGAGTACAGCAAAAGTATTACTGGCCGAGACTAACCACAGCCGTGAAGCACCATGTTCGTACCTGTCTCGACTGCCAGCGAAGCAAGTCGCCACCGACTAAACCAGCTGGCCTCCTGCAACCCGTGCAGGTCCCAACAGCTCCATTCTACCAGATCGGCATGGACATTTTGGGCCCACTACCTACTTCTATTGCAGGGAACCGCTGGGTTATCGTCGCCACAGATTATCTGACCCATTATGCCGAAACAAAGGCTATCCAGAGAGGTACATCAGCGGAGGTGGCAAGATTTTTCATCGAGAATATTGTACTGAGGCATGGTGCACCAACCGTCGTGACCACAGACAGAGGACCCGCATTTACGGCAGCTCTTTGGATCACGTCCTAATGCTGTGGGGAACAACGCATCGTAAGACCACCGCCTACCACCCACAAACAAACGGGCTGACGGAGCGTCTGAACAAAACCATTAAAGACATGCTTTCGATGTACGTAGATGTTGAACACAAAAATTGGGATGAAATCTTGCCATACATAACGTTTGCGTACAACACGGCGAAGTAAGAAACGATCCGCATGACCCCGTTCAGCCTTGTTCATGGACGAGAAGTATGAACTATGTTAGATGCGATGCTACCACATTAAAGTGACGACATGGACCCAGACGCCAACATGTTTACGGAACGCG